ATAGCAATACCAAATATTTTTAAATGTAAATTATACACAACTTTTTCCTCGCAATGCAAATATTTACATATACTCTCTACAGTAGACAGTAAATGCAAAACACTATAATGGTCGTTAAGAATAAGCAAAATTTGATTTGATGACGATATCATAAAAATTTCTAACAATAACTACTATCCAGTTTCACGAGCCCGACTCGTATCAACACGCCGCCCGTCATCACTATATTAGAGGTGTAAAGTCAGATGGCTGTCACACAACGAACGAATCGTTCACTTATCACCACACATCACCTTCGTCTGATCATTATCCTCAAGGATGACTTCGATGAATGTGGTCAAGGATTCATTTGTTCTCATCGCTATTATCAGCATAACGATCCAAGCCCAAGACACCCCTCAGCAATTACCATCTTTTGAGCAAATCAATGAGCAACAATTACCCTTACCACCTTTCCTAGTTAATGCAAGTGCAGAGTCTCGACGTCAATTCTTCTCGATTGCTTACAATCCGAACCTTAAAATCGCTGATCTTAACGAACAACTCGAACAATGGGCACATAAACAACCCAAAGATGTACAAGTAAGCATTTTCATCGTCTTTTTACAATAACCTTTCAAGTCGCTGTCTTAACAACTTATCACCGAAATCATGCAACATTGTTCAATTTTTTCGAATTCCTGATTTCAAGTGATTATTTTTACTTGGTTCTGTGAAGCTTATCTAAAGAAACATTAATTGTTTCTTTATAAAGGTTTCACTCAGCTATCCCTTTCTTAAAGATATAGTCAATGGAATTGCTTGATTATTCAAGATTTCTGGTTGCAAAGGCACTCAAAAGATAATTCTTAAGAGAGTAAGCGATAAATGGTTAAGATGATGGCAAATTATTAAGAAAATCATTCCGTTGAAGAAGATTATGTGATAAAGCTATTAAGTATCAACAAACAGAAGTATACTAACAGGATGCGTACAATCAACAAGTTGACGCACAAAAACGCATGGAAGCTATGATGGTGACAGAACGCAACAAATTGGTGCAAGCATTACCAGCAGATGCGCAAGCAGTCGCAAAGCAACTTGATGAAATTCGAGAGAATTTACAATTAACGGCTAATCAGCAAATGCAACAGGTCAGTTAGATTATTGTCGATCATTAAAGAAATTACACAAAATTCACAGCCGTGGAGCCGAATGATCAAAATTCGATTGCACTGAGAGTGCATTTTCAGCAGACAAAAATACACTTTGTTTCCATCAAAAGTATTCTTTTGATAAGTCAATGCAAAAAATCAATGAATAAAATTAATCTTATTCCTAGTCAAATAAGAAACAGTTTAAAACTAATTTCTTGTGAGCGTTTCATCGAATCGCACTAATTTTTTGTAATGTGTTTAATCATTCACATACGTTATAGTATGCCAATAAAGTAGTTCCATTACAGGAACATTATCGAAATCAGTATTAAAATGTCTGCGAGAACAGCATTCGTTGATAATCTTAAGGAAGGAAGTAAATGGTCACTAATGAAAACTAAAAATGAATGTGCATGAACAGAATGCAAACCATGAGATCGAGAACAGAATCAATAAGGAATTTTACAGCCACACTTTTCGAATGAACATTTTCGGGTGAAACTTAGTCATTCTCAGAAGTCTGCGATGAAGAATGCTAAGAATGTACAATCAGAAGTACATAACAATTTTTTTTGGATCAATAAAAAAAATTCTTATATCAATTCACCATTCACTCAAAAGATAAAAGTTTCAGGTAACGAAAGTCCTATACAACACCACTCCGGCGATTCGACAACAACTTACACACGTCGATGAACAACTTGGCCAAATGTTACAAAAACTACAACAATAAATACATCACAATAATTTTCCAACAATGACTTTTATCTATCTATCCCATTGCAACATTATATTTGAATATTTCATTGATTCTCTTTTGCAAATCTTCAAATTCACTTACTACACAAAATTGCAGTCTGTTTCAATAATCCAACGAATTCCATATGTTCACTTCTAATTTCGCCTTCTACATATTCATAAATGAGAATGATTACCATGGATCATTATGCTCATAAAACTACTTCTAACGCATTGTGTGTGCTTGCATTCCATCGCAGTTCCCGGTTAAAATTCAACTAATCCATCTCCGATGTTTAAACGGTTTTGTAACAAGAGCAGGGTTTAGCCCTTTCAAGTACCTAATTGGCCCTCAAAAATTTTAATCAGCTCATCGAAATCTTGCAGAGCATTAGTATTTTCAAGTAGTAAACATCCTGATTAACACTTTGAAAATGCAAAAATTAAATTTGTGAGCGTTCTCTTTGCTTAGCACTCTTCTTCTACTACATATATTCAGAACACAAGGAAGAGGGAACAATTCAAAAGTGCAGAAGGTGAAAAGGCACTTGCTGCCGGGTTTGGAACAAAACGCCATTCAGAATACGAGTTTGGCTACAATTCGGTGCAATAGTTTGTTCGCAACCTAAATTGGTCGTACACCAAGACACGTTTTTGCACAGAATTTAACAAACTGTTACAGTTAAGAGCACGATCAGGAAGTGAGACCAGCATTTTTTGTCGCAATCAAAATCGTCTGCTTTGGTAATTCAGGGGCAGTGGTTCGAGAACCAAAAGAAATTTTTTTGACTCCAACAAAAAAAAATACCGCGGTAACAATCAGTAGTTAAAGCTAGGATCTGCATAATAAGTTTTTGGCGGAGTTCGAGTAAAGCACGTTTCGGAGCCGAAGTCTAAGCTGGAACCTTAGAGGATGTAGAACCGGAGCTACAGCTAAAGCCGGGAGTTTAGAATTCGTCAGCTTGAGCTCGAACCGGGGACGAATTCCCTAGATAGGGTGAGCCGGAGCTAGAGCTGGAGACAGATTTTCAGAACTGTAAGGCGAAGCAAAGTCAATTCTTTTAAACTTGGGCATCATTGGTCATAAGCCTTTATTAAAAGCATAATGTCAATGATGAAGAAAGGGCAAAACAAATGCTGTACCAAATAATGACAATATTCCAAAGCACACAATGAGTGAAGGTTCGCCTTTCCAATTCGCATTCTACCGCACATCAATTGCACAAATCATTTCAATCCGTAGGCTGCGATCATAGAGTAATCATATTTTTGGTTCTCTTTCGATGATTTTTCGTGCTCTCCCTTAGAAAAACTGAATACTTCATCGCCGTAAGCCACATTGTGCGTTGCCATGTCCCAAGATATTGCACTCCTCAACATGAAAACAAAGAGAATGGGGCCGGAGCCCCTAAAATTCTCCACTCCTCACAAGAGATACCGTTCAGGGAGCTGCTGCACCCGCTGGAGAGATGAATCATCATAAATTATCGCACATCTTCTTGCTGGATTCTTCGAGGGGGACCCCTTCCAAACACTATTACGTGCCCATGTTCAAGGGGCAATCGTCGCACGATTGTTAAATATATTAGTGCTAGAAGCCGTTCAACTACATTGCCTATCAACTATTATTCATTAAAAAAGGAACTTTTTCTGCGCACGATAAAGATGAAATACTTAACAAGTGTTTTGAAAAATCTGTGCATAGACGAAAAAACGTCTTTTCAAAACTGATTTCAAACTGAGAACACACACAAACAAAAAACGAATTCGTCAATTTCTCAAATGATGACTTCTTGAAGAATAATGCACTCTAAAGTAGTTTTTTAAATGTGGATTTTAAACCGTTAAATGTACATGTAGAATTAGACGAAACAAACGAATTGCAGTTTTTATTAAGCTTAACCAACAGCAAAGTATATTTTCACACATAAACGCTATGAAATTCAATCAAATACTATGACTACTATTTTTGAAGTGGACATAGAGAGTAAATGAAACATTTGTAATGCGACAATCATTACCTCGTAAGAAACACATCACCACTGCAAATGTTTGACAGATAGATTTGATGAAAATGAATGAACAGCATAACGATGAATATTAATTCAAATTAAACGGATGCATAATTGATAAAAATGAAAATTTTCAATTCTGGCACAGCTCAATTCAAAGTTGTGAGAGAAGTCGAGTCACTTCTTAAGAGTACAGTTAACCGTAATGAGGATAAATCGTGAATGAAAACGACCTGTGGAACAGAGGAGTTAAATCAAACAAATAAACGAAGAATAATCATTCGAATGCAAGATGAATTCAATAAGCTAAAATGACTCGATAAGAGTCAAACAATAAAACTGAAGTAACTTCAATGACTCGATAAGAGTCAAAGAAAAAAGAACAACATGCAGATTAACTAAACAATGCTAAACTACAAAATGAATGAACAAAAGAATAATTAAATCGGACAATCCAAGTGCATAACACTACAAATACGACTGAAATATAAACAAATCCAAATAATGCAAATGAACACAAACTGAGGTGTCACCTTGCTGTACATAAACATGATGAAATTATATAATGTGCAATGAGACAAATCCACCCAAATTCATGTTCATTCATAGAAAACACAGTTTGAAAGGCTCACTACTAATCAATTTATAACACATGATTGATAAGTGCTCAATATCCAAAAGATCTACAAATCACAATCGTTTATTCAATCAGCAACTGTCAAGTTTATACCTCTCTGTCATCACCAAAATCATATTCTTCCTTCCTTTTTACACAGCTGACGATATTTTAACGCTTGTCTTCATGAAACTTTTTATTTGGCGACCACAGAGGTGGACAGATATCTTATCAAGTGAATATTAATGGCATTCAACTATTAACGTCAATAATCAACAATTTAAAGGATAATAAGAACGCGAGATACAAATGATTAATCAAAAAGATATGCTCAATGTCAGATAATAAGTTAATAACTCAAGATGCATTATGCTCTCAATCCAGTCAGTAGTTACTTACGAAATTTTTGTTAATTTAACGGTATTCATTTAACTGCTTCACCAATCAAATATGCGAGACAAATAGTTCAACGAATGGTAAAAATGAACAAATTCGATTTGATTGATAACGCCATATGAGTCAAACAAATACACCATCTGAATATAATAATCATCGAACACACCAATAGAAAGTATCAATTCATTCAAATAATATTACATCAGTACTATATGCGGACGATGTGTGTGGCTGAGAGACTGATGAATAAATATGCTTCATTTTTAGTTTGACCAAGATGTTTTATGATCAACTTCAAATCATTCTCTAGTCACTATGTCCATCATCATCATCCTTTGTGATCGCTCTTTTCAGCGGAACGTTTTTGATGCCAGTTCCCTTACGTTTCATGTATTGTGCATAGACCAATGTTTCATTCTGTAAATGTAAACATATTTATTCTCAAGATTTCTTCAACAAACTAGAGGAAAAATGACACTCAGACGAATTTCACTAAACATCAGATTTGAAACACTCGAATCAACATCAACATCGATCATCGAATGCAACATTTCTTTGCAACGTTTCGTTCAAGCAAATGAGTGGAACGTTCCTCAGTTTGTTGAATATATGAATGTTTGTTACATTTAATTCGCAAACCTGAAGTCTCAAGTACTGCACATTCACTCTCCTATAACCTACGATATCACGTTCCCAAAGATTCTGTTGAATATCTTTTCCCTTGCTCGAAATCTCGTTCGTAAAAACGGTTATGAGAAATTTGCTCGGTCTGAAATCAAAACAAATCATTTTACATTCAACATATTTGCAGTTAAATGGAACTGAATGTAAAATGCTAATCGAATAAATGAACGTGCAAAACAGCAGTAAATTGAACTGGGATTGAAACTTTTTCATTGTTTTCAAAACAGACCTTAAGAGAGTGACATACATTACATTTGCTCTATTGACGACTGGGTTTTGAGTTCAGCAAATGAACTCATTTACCATTCATTAGCTGCGATTAATATAATAATAATCCATTAGAAGGAACAGAGAGATAGATACAAGTTTAAAGCGAAACAGAAACTCACTTGAAAATGTCGATTACACGAAGTGTCTGCTTATGCAAACACATTGAATTTTGATTTGTTTCAAAACTGACGTATGAAAAATCAGGTTCAGGTGTTACATGAATTGTTACGTATTGATCCTTAAAAAGCGTTACATGATTTATTATGAAATGGCCTGAAACGATTAGTTCTTCATGACTTTTACATCCACTTATCTGTGACTAGCGATTATTGGATTTCCAGCCCAATACAGCATTCATTCAGCATTTTATATTTTTTCCTTCTTTGTAAATGTTTAGAAACTGCCGAATTCGATACAATGAGCATATTGTTTCATAGTTGACAAGAGACGCATGAGCACAGAAAACCCTCACCATTCCAGCAAAAAAAAAACTTTACACAACAGAAACTGGAAAAGTTTAATTCTGAAAATGGCCTTCAGTTGAACTGCTGATGATGTTACTTTATATGAGTTTAAGTATTTTCATCAGATTGTAGATTCTTTGAAATCATAATAACATTTCAAAAAATCTTTGTCGTCAATATATGACTAAGAGTATATGACAATAAACAACGAACTGTTTGTGATACTAAGCCGTTCATACTGTAGCCACACGGATCGAATAGTTCTTCATGAATAACTGTGCCGAACGGTACCACTCTGTCAATACCTGATTTCTGAAAGAAAAATCACACCATTTTTGAAACAAATAGTGCCAATACGTAAAATAAATAATATCTATGCTGGTCATACATTTCATCTGTAATATATTTCGAAAACAAGAATAATTTCCATGACATTAGCATAATATTGTGACGGACATTCTGCAACTGAAACGATTCTTCCAAATAATCAAACCTTAGTGCATTCTTTAGCATCCTTACAAGCACTCTTACTGAACACTGCCATCACTTCGTTCGGCATATCACTCATCATAATTTCAAGAGTATGATCTGTGTATGGTAATGGTGCTTGAGGGACATTCATCGTATACAGGAACCAACGATCTTGTTTCAATGAACCCATGCAATATGCTGCTCCATCTAAAAAGATCACTGTACAGCGGTTGCTTACAAGATCCATTCAACCCTCACTCATATATGCAATGCATTAATACCACCCTAGCATTTGTTGATTTCAAAAAAACTCGTTATTGAAATTATTAATGCAATTGCTTACTAGCTAAAACACAAAGCGAAATGTATCTATGCTTAAAATTGGTGTGCTTTAGCTCCCGCTTTTATTTCAACCATGTCTTTCAGTGATAACGACTGAAGAACGACTCGATTTACTTGATCGAAATCCATCCGTTGAAGTAAACGATGAACCGGTTACTATCCTACAGCCCTAATAAACGAACAATAAGAATAGTGCAAATAACACATGTAAGCGAACTATAGCTCGAAAGATAACATCGGCATATCATTTAAGGGCTAAAATGTCGAAAGAATGTTACCTTGAAAATAATTATCGAGATATTCAATCTCACCATCGAATGAATTATGTGGGAATGGTTGCACATCTGGTCGCATGAAGTTTTTACGTGAATAAAACACATTGATAACGTTATCCATATTGCAATAACGATGTGCAAGTTTCAATAATGGGCCAACAGCATGAAGTAAACGTGTCGTCCCACATGTTTTCAGAATAATTCGTGCATCCGATATGAACATACTACTTTCACTGAAAATTTATTCATTACGAATAATTCACATCGTACACACAGAAAACGTTTCATGAATGCAGATGAAATCGAACAGTGTGAATGAACATGAATTTGGGGAAAGCAATCCCTAGCAGCAAAAAAAAAACTAATTGTTGCCGTATCAGCACTTAGGATGAAACAAAAGCTTCAAAAATACCTCAACACATAACTGTCGATGTGATCATTACTAATGCAATGCAAAATATGACACTGTGCAATATCCAACATGCCAACCAATTCATCATATGGAATATTGCGCAACGATGTTGCACCCTCTTGTTCCAAATCAAACCAGATCTCTAATAGCTTTTCTGCACCTAAAAAAATCATTGTCAGCATTTCATCTTCATCAATAAAAACAATGAAAATGTTACGAAAACTGAATGAACACAAAACAATGCCACAATGGATTAATTCCAAAATAATCACTTTATTCGATGAATGATGGGCACGATACAAATATTTTAAATGGAACATAAAAAACTTTTATACATTTTGATACAAGCTCAGCAGTTTCCAATGGAATTATATGAAATGAAATCATAGATGAAAAATGAGGAAACCTTCAAAGAAGTGATCTTGATTGGTAGCATTTGATACAATCTGGAGTTGTTCATTGGACATTGAAACAGCAGAGATAGAAGAATCGAGCGACATTATTGTACAGCCTTCTTAACTTTGTACTAAAATAAAAATTTCGATTTCAGCTCATCTGATACGGACCATATAATAAAAATATTCCATGCTTTCGTTTAATATTCCATCTTTAGTAACAAACAACTCATTCTGAAATGTGTAGAAGTCGAAACAAGTGAAAAAGATAAATAAGAAACCGTGAAAGATTACAATAATTAAGCACAGGATGAACAATGACTTAGTCCACACAAAAACGTCCACGTATAGATGAGTTGTCCTGTTGTGATCAACGAGGTAAGGAGATAGTTAGAGACGGACACTGAATAGTAAGTTAAGTCGGACCCGCTAAGGAGGTCGACGGTGGTGAACCAGAATAAGGGTCTTATGCGGACCCATACAATGACACTGAAATTAGCAAATAAACTTATGACTGCTTCGATAAAATATACGTTCGTTTCATATAGACTGTGTAATTGTCATTCATGCTTTGGAATGAAATGCCTTGTGAGAAGACGAAAGGCAGTGCTTCTTCAAATCCAAATCATGATTTTTTGAGCAAACTCGCTCTGAACGAAACAAACAAATCAAGTAACGATTTTCCATTGCGCTTTCACAATCAGCCAACCTAAATGGTTAATGCCATCACTCAACTATTCAATATTCGCATTACTTTTCTTCCCTTTCAGGGGTTTAATTCAAGACTTTTCTGTATCCTGATGCAATAGAATAACTTGCCAAATGCGATAAAACCGTGTTAAAGCAAAGTAAAAGTGTTAGAAACCGAAGACGGTGGTTGTCAGCTGTATCGTTCTTTGTATGCGATCGGCTCTTCAGAAGGACGATGCTCAACGCTCATACAATACCAACGCTCTATTCGAGAAGACACGTCGACAACCAAATCTTGACTAACAATAATGGCCTTTACCTCGTTCACCACTCTTCAAACCTTTAAATACTATAACGTTCGTTCAAATTACTTCATATAACGAACACACGTTCATCGATGATCACATGAACATTTAACATTAACAAATTGTTAAGGAACACGGTTGTATCATCAATAAATACTATCCACTGAAAAGATCAAATGAATTCGTTTTCGAACCTAACTTCAAAACAACAATTTCAGTTAACACTTCGAAGTCACTCATACAATAACGAGATTTCAGTTCAATCGTGCTGCTGTTGGATGAGAATTGGCAGGTGTGAAACCACACGACATTTTCAGAGCTGAACATTAACGTCCCACGGCCGAATGAATTGAATGATTTAATCTAGGGTTGCATTGGTGGCCCCCGAACATGTACTAAGTTCTGAGGCTTCTGACCAGAATCACTGCCCTCGCGGACACCAGTCTTGCTTTCGCCCTTGATTCAACTCTAATTCAACCTATCGTGACATTCTTACGCATATACACAGATACGAATACACCTTCAAAGACTCATTCAATGCCAAAACATTTTGAGTGTTAGTGCGAAAAAATTAAGATTAAAAACACTGTCTACTGAAGTGCAGCTTTTCGTGTAATTCGAATGAACTAAATCTGATTCCGCACTCAGAGTTTCGTTATTATTCACTTATAATTTTTTGCTAGAAGTAAACAAGTTCACTGGAATAGCAATGAAGGAACAATTATATGCAATTTTTTAGTAGTGATTCATATGAGAATGCGGAAAAACAGTGTTTGGTTGTGCATTTTACGTTACGGAATGCCCACGTTTTTCCACACTCCCTTCAACAGATAAACCACAAACCAAATATGAACACATGCTTATGCATAACTCTATCATCTTCTCGTTAAACTGTTTTCCGTTTTCTAGTAAGCCATCATGAACTGCCACTCAATTATATACTGTCATAAAACCATTTCTCCTTGTGACTCTTGGCAGGAAATTTTTTCGTAATGATAAAAAAACTCAATCTAATATAATAAGTTTTCGAAAAAATGATTAATCGAAATACCTAAACAGACATATGATAATCGGATCGATTAGAAATAACATCAACACTGTGACTAATGCTAGAATTGAAAACGATATGCTGATTCAGTCTGAATGCAAATCTTATATTCATGAATAGTCATTCGAGCTACTCTAAACATCACATGATTATGACAGTAATCTTATCATAAGACAAAAATTTCCTCACAGCCAGTGATGTTTGTTTACAAATCGACCATAAACTATATGACACAAAACACTAGCCGAATACATATTGCAAACTAAATTAGAAAAACAAAAACAAGATCGAGAATATTGCGAAAATAACGATTGATATGAATGAAGAAAGAGCAAAAACAACTGTAAGATCGACAACAACAATGAATTTACTTTGCATTACACAGTTCATATGAAGACCTTTAAAAACAAATATCAAGAATGTACCTTTCGAATGCTACGCTTGACAAAATAATGAATTCGGAATTTTCGAATGCAAAACTAATTTTTTGTACATTAGTTGCCTCTGATTTTTTTAGTGTCTGATTTTATGATTGCGATAGACGATAACAAAACCAAAACATCATACCTATCTGCATTTCCCATCTTTCATCAACAACAAAACCTCTTCGCCAAGAGAACAACAATATATGGAACCACCTTGTTAACAGTTTTAAAAATGTAATTTCTAAACTGTTTTGCACGAGTTCTGACGAGGTACGTTCATTTTCGCAAAACATTTCGAAATAATCGTAACATATGACGAACAAAAAAATTCGTAACGAAATAGAATTCAAGATAAGCCTTTCCTTCCTTTCCATTTTATGAAGCAAAAAAATGAGCTGATAGACATTCTCGAGATGATGAACCACAGAATCAGAAGTTGTCCTTGGCTGAAATAAAATCCATCAACTAAAGATAAGCTGCGAATAACATTGTTTCCAATTAACACCAAAAATGAACGGCACAGAATTTCAGTTCGAAAGGCTCAATCAAATCAATCACAATTTTATCCTAATTCTCATTCGATAAAGTGCATTTAAACCTCCGTCAAAATCTAGACTTGACCCGAAGTAAAATAGAACCAAACTCTGCGTTCAAGCTTAAGCAAACCTCAGTCAGCGCCTCAACTTGAGTATGAGTAAGCTCTAGTCAAAGTTTGAACTCTGATTCAATTCTCAGTCTCTTCAAGGTGAACAAAATCGACATCAGCGCAGCAATAATCATACAATATCTAAAAATATTTCTCATCTAAAAAATCTTATCTAATTATTCTGTCAAAATGAAACTTTTGTAAACGAATTCAAAATCGTACTCATGTGAAAATGAACTTCAAAACTGTCTTCAAATAGTCTTTCCAAGAAGAGTGAGGTAAACATCACGAGAATACTTGTTGAAATAGTACAACTTCGTCATAGTTAGGCTTAGAACAAAATAAATACTTTTGTGCTGCACAGCAATTTTTTGGCACCTAGTTCTCCTGGAAAGACTGTTCGAAAATGACGACGTGCAATTGCAAGCTAGATGCGAACAACTGTCTCAAACAATAAAATAACAATAGATCATGGTCACAATTTACAACAAAATTTGCGTTTATTTTCGATAATCACTATCCACAGTCTACCTATAAAAAGTTTTCAAATCGGAAAAGAATTTGAACTATCCAATCATCCACCAGTAGAACTGCACAAAAATTATCGTTTGATTATCGCAATGATATGAGAACACTTACATTTATTCAGTACAATAAGAAGTTAAGCAATTCGATGAAATGCATAGGTTGAAGCAACTTATATGAATGAATAATTATTGTTGATCTAGTTGATATTTGATTGATTTTCAAATGATTTTCTCGCAAATCCTTTCTATGAGTCATTCATTTCAAATACGCATCCTTAATACCAATTCGTTTATATTCAAATAAATTTTCATCTTTTATTCAATAACTGTTTCCTAATGCGTATGTAATTTATGAATATCTACTTTTTGGAATCAATGAACTGTTTTTGTAATTTTTTAAGAAACGTTTGAGATATGACATGGATGCAAACGATTACTTATGAACGTTTGTGTGCATTAACGTTTGCAAAAATATGAAAAAAAAATGCATGAACAATTTAAAACAAAAATTGGTACTGCATAATGTACACCTCTAATCTAAAGATAGAAAATATAAATATAAATCTGTCGGCATTATGCATCGCAAAGCATACGTAAAATGACACTGATAAGCAGCGAAAATGCATTGGCTGTTTACCGTATAGCTTTAAAGTACAATAATGAAAAGATCGAGGAAACGAAATTATGCCAGGAAAACCTTCATACAAACTTTCAACTGTCAATCGACGAATGATAGCCTCCACTCGGTACAACCCACAGAGAAGTAGACAAAAACTTCAAGCTTGTTTTTAACCTGACATAAACGAATGACGACTATTTGATGGAAGATAACAGTTTCATAGGTTTGTGAGCGACAGCCTCTTGTCACACAACAAACTCCCGATACAAATAAAAACAGCTTTTGAGTAAAAATAAGCTCGGCTACAATACAGAAACGAGCAAAACAAAGGCCTGGCCTTAAATATAATCAATATCAACGCATCATGAGTAATCGCAATACATCATTGGCTGCGTCTTACGCAAAACCGCTCGCCTCTGTTGCTTGCCTAAGCCGTGCATATGTGGCACTGATTCGTTATCAATACCAAGTTCCATTTCGGTAGCACAAACAATTCATCAGTATTTTATCAAACAATACCATTTATGGCACAAGCCGATGTATAACGAGCACTCGTACAGAATAACTGTCAGCTGGATTAATCGTACGCAAGATGGAAACGAAAACGCGAGAATAGCTTATTGTTTTCATTCTTATTTCAAAACTCATGCTCCTCCCAGTCTTATATGACGTTCATTAGATGGAGCCTGTTATCACTCAAACAGAGCTATTTGTTAGTCCCAAAACTTTTACAACATGGACCGGTTCCATGCACAACAAATCTTCAAAGAGCAGTTGGTTTAACAAAATGCAGTGAACATGCATCACGTATAGAACTAACTCACTGATTAGGTATTTCATCGTATTCGATTTGATCGTTAACTGTATCATCAGCAGAGCATTCATTGGTTGCACTTTTACATGACAATGATCTGCATCAAATCCTGATACTTCATATACACAGTGTGTGGTGCGGGTAAACGTTAGAGTGACTGCGAAGGCAAGCAAGTTTGCAGTCAATAAATAATACGAGAAGATATACACTCAAGATTATGGCATTACGATACTTATAATGGAAGAAAAGAGAATATAGGCTTTGTGGAGCTTTCTTCAGAGAAAATTTTACGAAGAACTTTTTCCAGAGAACCATTATTTACTTGCATTCAGCGTGAAAAACTAATTCAGAATAGGTGAAGAAGTCATTTTCATGAGAAGATTCAATTACTACCCATTGGGTAGACCTTCGAAGAAGTTCCATGGTCATTCCACAAGAATTCCTTTGAAGTCGCATGCAATGAGTTTTTCTTAATTTACTACAACTCGCAATGCCAAAGGTTTTACACAAACCGATATCTACACAGTCAGAAGATAACACTGCTCTATATTCAAATAGCAATCGTGCATTGCCCTAGTCAACATGTAAAAGACCTTTTTGCAACGAAGTCAAATGTTTGTCTGATACACGATTATTATGATGAAATAATGCCCAACAAGTTCCTTTAAGTATGCCTGATTGTGAGTGTTTCAGCATAATTCATTTTTCACAGATTCACTTTCAGCATAATTCACTTCTCTGGAGAAAATCCATGAGGTTGCTTATCCTTTCTTTAACATTCCAAAGTGTTTGAGAAGATTTTAATGCAATAATTCGGAATCTTTGGGGTGATGAACTAGTAATATTAGAAGAAAGGTGCAGAATACTTTTAATAAACTAAATTGCTTAAAAACATTTACTTTTACGAAGTTTGATGAAAAAATAATAATGATAAGTATATAAGTATAATAATAAACTTTAAACAAATAAATCAATGGACAAATAGTAAATCAAATCAAAATTCGGTAAACCAAGATCATGATTAGGCAAAGAGGAAGCATACTGTATTGAACCTTTGTAATTCAAACTGTAGGTAAGAAGTAAATGTTGTTGAACTGGTGTTGAAGAAAAGTGAACATAAAGCATATTTTGAAATTTTTCGGTAAATTGCTGATGGATCTGATGAGAGCTACGCCCATTGGCCAACTCGGGCGATGCCATTTTGGTAAATATCAATCATGATTTCTGTGGGTGACCGACAAATGCCCAAGCGACAATTGCAAGTACGACGTTTGTCAAGCACGTAGTTGGTCACAATAGCACTATGGCTGACAACCAGGCTTAGCTTAAGCGTAGCCTCAGCCTCACGCTCAGATTGAGGCTACGCTTAGGTTGAGGCTGAGGCTACGCTCAGGTTGAGGCTGAGGCTACGCTCAGGTTGAGGCTGAGGCTACGCTTAGACTGAAGCTACGCCTAGGCTCAAGCTGAGACTACGCTTAGGCTGAGCCTGAGGCTGCGCTTAGGCTGAGACTAAGACTCACCCTAAGCCTCAGTAGTACGCGTTTTATACCACACACAAAATAGTGAGCATGCGTTCGCATTGCTCAAAAAGTGAACCTAAATGAAGTTTGTGTGACCAACTACGTGCTTGACAAATGTTGTGCTTGCAATTGTCGCTAGGGCATTTGTCGTAGACCCGATTTCTGCAAAAATTTTGCATCTTCATAAATTTTGAATATAGTTTCTGGTGGATTTGCGCACATTTGTCATGATTTTTTGAACACGGTCATCGTAAGTATTGTATGTTCCAATGGTCAGTTTAAACTTAAATTATCCATTAAGGGCACTAGTGTCGTTTGAGGGGGAGTTATAAGCGAGATTGAACAGTTAGTGTTTCGGCGTTTTATTTGGAGCAACACTGAAACAGTAAGATGGTAAGCAAACATTCATTCGAAATGTTGCATTCGTCTTATTTGCAAGCATATAGCATCTGGCATGTGGTTGTTATGCAGTAAATGAACAATACAATTCATTGAAACGGTTCCATTCATAGACCTTGTTTTTGTACCATTGTTCAGCCGATTCACTGGTCCATCAACCATGGCTCGCGACACAGTGGTTAAGATTGTAGCATACTCAGTTGTATAGGTACGAACACTTACAGGAATCTTCAGCTCGCATGTATGAAGACGTGCAATTTCCGTCATTAATAGACCTATCGTTCGATTACGCCGGGAAGCGTACGCATTTTACGATTAACGAATTTCAAAACGTTGATTTCATACTGGTTTCGGACATTGGAAAAATTGGTCAGGTCGTTCAGGTGAAGAATTTTCTATCTAGAGGCGTTATAACTTAGCTTGATTAATTGCATTAAAAATGTAATTTAAATTCGTTGTTCGGTCACATAAATTGGCACTTACATCATTGTTACGCCTTGCTCCCTATTTTACAGTGGTTAGAAACTGATATCCTTAGCTGAAGATGGCCTGTGGTCTAGGTCAGACCTGAACTGAACCCGCCAAGATGGTCTGAATTTGAAAATTGCTCAAACTCAAAATGTGGCTGATGCGTGAAATCAGGCAATGCTGAAGTCCAGGCTCAGACTTTGGTTCGTTGCTTCCTATGTCGGAAGAAACAGTTTGTGAAACCAGAAACAGTGGAATAATTTCAATCAGTAGTAAATACCAGTTAAATCTACAGGTAATATTACCACATCCAGTTATTGCGTCAGCGCTTCATCCAACTCATAACGTCGACTACGAAACAAAAGTGTTACTTGGTAATCAGTTGGTAAGTTATATAATGAGCAGTTGATTATTTGCATTCTTACCCAGCCATTTTAATAAATATGAACTCTTTGTGAAAGATTGAGTGGAAATGTGAACTGTTCAAAAGTGTAATAAGTTGTTGACAACAATAGATCTAATTTTGATTGCATTTAATGTTTATTTGTATTTAAGGAGGATTTTGATCTGTTATTGAATCGTTTGATTGGCGTATTAGCTGCGAACGGTCGTCGACGTAGTTTGATATTTGGATTTGGTTTATATGAGTTTAATATCGATCATGGACGTGCAATTGTTGAACGTCTTGAAACGCATCTACGTCAAGAATCATCGAATATTTGTGCAAAGAAAAATGGCAGTCCACCTGAGAAATGTTCACACTAGTTGTTCTCGTTCAGATGTGATGCACACTATCCATAAGATCACATTTTCTGAATCATATCACCGTCAACATTTAACATCACATTTTCAACGACGTTTTCTCAATGCCTCTAAAAAGCAGAACATCTTTCTACCCAAAACCGAATTCCGTGTTCATATTAAACCAAGTGAACGTGCTGCTTTGGATTCTGAATTGGCTGCTTATGCGCACTTCAACGATTTCTATGATTGGCAGTTGCACGCACCCGATCGTCAGTCTCTTCCATTGTTGGTTTATTTATTTTTTTGTTGCTATTACGATTGTTTGGTGTATTTTCATTGTTATCTTTATCCGTTTTTGGATGATGATTGTTATTATTTATGATTATTATCATTATTGCTATTGTTATTATTATTAGTGTTATTATTATTATTATCAGTTTTATTTTTTGCCATCGTATAATTTCAACTTTTCATTTACTGACTTATCAACTATTCTTAACTATTATTGATCATTCTTTTTACCCTTCATTGATTGTTTTTGTCAAATTTTCATGAGATAACCGATATTTGATTGGTGCGAGAATTGCTGTAACTAATTGGTGATAGAATATTGTTTTATTGCAGATTCGAATTGCTTGATGGACCACCGTATGCCAATGGTTCAGCGCATGTAGGACATGCAATCAATAAAATATTGAAGGATTTTGTGGTTAGAAGCCGTATTGCTCTAGGATTTCGCGTTTCATTTCGACCCGGATGGGACTGTCATGGTTTACCGATTGAACTCAAAATTGCCAAGAATGCCAATGTTGTATGTTTGTTATTCCTTGTTTCGTTTAGCAATAAAATTTCAGCTTGATTACGCATTAAATACAAGGGAACTGCAATTTTCATTTGTTGTACAACTACATTGTGTTTCTTCCACTTATTGTGAAGGTATCATTCGCTAATGAAAGTGTCATGTTGCGAAAAGGTTGTCATTTCTGATGTTTTGCCTATCGAATAAAACGAAAAAAAAGAATGAACAGATTTGTTTCGAACATTCATTTAAACAATCGATTTCGAAGTTTAATGGCACATCGAATTTTGGTTTACAAAGTGTTTGTGTGTTGTTCAGCTTTTGCATTTTTGCCTGTATAAATATATGATATTTGTTAGGAAATGTCAGCGTTGGAAATTCGTAAATCGGCCCGTAACTTAGCTGAGCAATCGATTGTGAAGCAAATGAGCTCATTTAAGCGATGGGGTGTTATAGCAGATTGGCGAAATCCATATCGAACAATGGATGCTCAGTATGTAACTGAGCAGTTGAGAAATTTCGCTGAATTACTCGACCGTAAATTGATATATCGTGATTTCAAACCTGTTTATTGGTTAGTTATATGAATTTGGTCCCGTTTCGTTTTAGTTTATACGTTTCGGTTCTTTACTGATTCGTTCGGTTGTTTGCTACTAAACTCTGTTCCATTACCGCAAAAAAGTTCAACATAATATCGCACTTCCTCAGTCATTTGTGTGTGAAGTTGGGTATGTTGACAACATCTTCCGGTAGGTGAGATCGTTGCCGAATAACTGTACAGATAAGAAGGATCATATCATCACACGTATCTGCTATAAAAATTCAACATATTTATTTGTTCATAGGTCGCCAAGTTCGTTCTCGGCACTTGCTGAATCAGAACTTGAATATAATGAGAAGCATGTGAGCACAGCCGTTTTTTATCGATTTCCAGTAAGTTTTTGTCTTGTTTGTTCCTTAATGATTATCTGTGATCAGTGAGGGGTGCTTAGGCTCAGCTAAAAATTGTCACCTTCAAAAGATGAAAATCAAAAACTGATCAGCTCTCTATTACCCAAATGATTATAGATTATTAATGGTGCACGAATTCGAAACGAATGTCATGGGATCAATAAACCGAGTAAATTATTCGCTCTTATTTGGACAACAACACCATGGACTTTACCGCTGAATGACGCAATCGCATTCAAACAAGATGCCAGTTATGCAGCTATTACAGTAACAAAACTGGACAGGTGAATATTCTAATTTTGATCTGATGGGTACAATTAATTACTAAAAATAGTATTTTATTTTGCAGTGAACCAGTGCGAAATATTTATTTAATCGCACAAGATTCAATCGAAAATTTTGAGCAGTTGACTGGTCTGAAAACAAGAAGAGTAGCCAATATAAATGGTAATCAGCTGAATGGATTAATGTATCGTAGCTGTATGTACAGTGATATAGCACAGCCTTTATTAGCTGCGCCTTATGTGACCGCAAATGTTGGTACGGGTCTTGTGCATACTTCTTATGCACATGGATTTGATGATTATAAGGTTGTTATTTGCTCAATTGTTAATTATTTCTATGCTATGATTGTTATTAGCAATTAGGTGCAAGCCATACGATTATCTGTTTTGCATTTCAAATTCTCATGAAATTTGGTTTGTGCAGTTGTTTAAATCAAGCTGTCTGTTTGCAGTTGGCCAAACAAAGAGGCGACAAAATTGTTTGTTATGTGGATGAAAAGGGTAATTATTCGAGACAGCTCGGATATGCACTTGAAGGTAAATGTGTATTAGATGAAGGACAGAATGCAGCTCTTGATTTGTTGAAAAAAGATGTCGTCTGGAAGCATCAATATACTCATTCATATCCATATGACTGGAGAACTAATAAGGTTTTCGTTCATTCAAATACATCGCAGAACTTTTCCATATTGTTTCAAAAGCAGTTCTTATCTGCAATAGTTGATTTATGAATTTATTGCTCTACTCAAGGCTTTCATATGTTAATCATATGCTTACTTGCATATGCTTATTTATGAAGTTTGATAATTTATAGCCAGTGATTATTCGAAGCAGTCAACAGTGGTTTATGGACGTTTCAAAAATTGGTATGGATGCGATCAAATTACTTCAAAATGGCAATATATTGATTGGAAGCTCTCTGTCAGGTGCATTCATTATGTTTTACTAACAGTGAAATTCTATTCCATGTGCAAATTCCGCTGCAAGTATTTTTTTCTGCAAGTAAATGGGTATTGTCGATGAATACTCTTGCCACAAATACTTCTTTCTGTAAGCCACAGGACAGAAGCTTGAATTCTTTCTACAAAAGTTGTTGAGAACCGTTTTGAGTTCAGATAAACGCGAATCACTAACTAGCCAACTGAGAAATCGTCCCGCATGGTGTATTTCCCGTCAACGAGCATGGGGTGTCCCTATACCAGCATTTATGAAGAACGAAACCGATGTCATCATCAATCGAGAAATTGTTAATCATATTGCGGATAGAATTCAAATTGATGGACCGGATGTGTGGTGGAAAGAAACGGCAAGAAACCTTTTATCCACAAGGGTCAGCCGTTTTTAGATTACTCTCGAAGCACTCTCTTGTATTCACTGTTATTATTATTATTAATACTGTTGTATCTTCATTTCCCTTATCTCCCTTCATTTGCTTTATCATTATATTATGCTGAATAGTTTCATTAAGAACTAGAAAAGTCTTTTAATGAGGCAGCTTATTACAGTTAAGGAGTAAGTATGGTATTGATGAGTCAACGCATTTAACGAAAATGGAGGATGTAATGGATGTTTGGTTGGACAGTGGAATGGCATGGAGATGTAGTAAGAATAAGAGTTCAAATAATGGTAGAGTCGCGGATCTTGTCGTTGAAGGAGTTGATCAGTTTCGTGGATGGTTTCAATCGCTTTTACTAACTTCTTTAGCGTTACAGGTTTCATTCTTGTTAATTTCCGTGGATTTTTTATTTCTTAATCAATTTTATTTTTCATCAACATCATATATTTTCCAGCGTTATCCAGTTCACTGCTTATGTTAGAAATGCATTAGTGATTGTGCTGCATATACGTGAATCTTTATTTATTGCAAGGAGATATTAAAATTGAAGGATACGGCTCCATATAAACGGGTGTTGGTTCACGGATTTGCAGTTGATGAAAATAAGAAGAAAATGTCAAAATCGATCGGAAACGTCGTCGATCCAGACTTGGTTAGCTTTGTGTCGTTACCGTTGCTAATGCAATAATGTGAGTGTGAATTGTTAAAACAGATTACAGACGGTTCGTTGAAGTCGAATATGGCATTAGGTGCTGACGGTCTTCGGTTGTGGGTAGCACTGTATGGAAGTGAAGGGAATGATGCACGTTTGGGTGAAAGTGTCTTGTTGGATTTGCAGAAACGATTGCAACAAATACGTAATTCATTTCGTTTTCTTCTTGGTTCAATCCATAATTTTGATTCAGCTCCATCAGCTCATCAGTCACTAATATCGACAGTTAAAAATGCTTCGAATTTAGATCAGGTTTGTTGATTGTACTCATTTATTGTGTTCTTTTTTTTTTCTGTATTCATTTTTATATACCTGTTTATGTGACAGTTTTTTGTTGGTTATGTTGTGAAATGTTATTGAACCCAAATGAGGGTTTCAGTTGCAATCAATTTGCCACCATTTGATCAGAAATTGATTTGTCGGTGACAAATTTCGAAAGTGGTTTATCACTTATGTGGTCTGCTCATTTCAGTATATACTACACGAGACATGTAAATTTGTGCAACGCTCACTTGCAAATTATGAGCAATACAAATTTCGTGTTTTTGCAAATGATTTCACACAATTTCTCCAACGTCCACTCAGTTCTGATTTCATTGTTAGTAACTTTTATGTTTTTGTGCTTCTTCTTTGGTGTAAATTTCAATCTTCTATGCACATTTATCCTTACCGTTTTATTCGCTGGTTTTTGTAGTTGATATCAGCAAATCAACCGAATTGATTCTCATCGAAAAATTTATTCGTCAATAAAATGCCTTCGAATAAATGCATCCATCCCATCTCGGTCAATAATCGCCCAAGACATACTTTTACCCATTCACAAATTTGACATTCCCTCAGTTCCGTTCGGATATTCTTCCAGAGTACAATTAAAGATCGTCTCTATTGTGGCACGACAATGGAGCGAAAGTCTGCACAATGCACCCTGTATAATGTAGGCTTAAAACTGATGGCCATTATTTGGCCAATTTTGCCGCATTTAGCTGCTGAATTCATCCAGAAACATCCATGTATCACCGATGCAGATCAACTGACCAAGTAAATGATATTCAACATTATCTGTCGCATAATCTCATCATTGTTTCATGCTTTATTTGTACAAATTACAAAATATTGTTCAAAATACTTCTTATTTGGTAGCTTCATTTCCAATCTGTTGATACTTGAAGTTTCACGGTAAATATCCTCTACAGGAACATTCGTTCAATTCTCTTGGATTCATACGAAATGAATTCAGTGAAACATGATATAGTGAAATGGGCGTTCGAACTGCGATCCCGACTGTTCGATTTATGCAGCGATAGGACGTTGGAAAAAACGGTTCGTTTCCATTCTGGCTTTTCGTTTCTGGTGATTTTACTGAATTTTGTTTGTAAGTCGTTCGTTTATTTGAGAATGATTGTTTCAATTTTTTGTTGGAATGTTGATTTTTTAAACGTTTTATCAATCAACTTGTTGTTATACATTTATTATTCCTTTGCTAAATTTGCGTCTCTTTGAAGTGCCATTGATGTGTGAAAAAAAGTCAATGAAAGAATATAATGTGTTGTGATTAGGGTGTTCGAATCGAGTGTGGTGTGGAAGCAGCAACTCGACTGAAACTTCTTCAGAAGGGCGAAGTGTCGTTTCATTCGGAATTGGTCGAAATATTAGGTGTATCAATGGTTGAAATTGTTATTATTGATGATGCAGAACAAAAAAACGATGCTAATATGAAAGTGATTGAACCGAAAGCATCGTATTGTAGCAGATGCAGGAAGATGAATCGGCCAGATACAGCCAAATATTGCGTTCGTTGTGAAAAAGTTTTGAGAGAATTGAATGCATCTTGAGCTGTCATTGTTCAAATATCATTTGTTGTCGTTATGATTGCATGTGTCATCTTTTCTTTCAGTGATTAATCTTTCATAGTTTACTATTGGCTCCGTTAACTTTGTTATCTTTTAGTAGATTATTTCATAGTCGTCTATTCGTAATTCAGTTCCGATATATTTACTTACTCGGTGCCAGTTGATAATTTGATATTCATCCTTTTTCAAATTTTTAATGTTGTTTATTCAAATGTTTGTTTGTTGTTTAGCTTTTCAATATTAAAATATTCACGCAATGATCTCCAGCGATTACAATTCATAATATTCCCATAAAAATGCCGTACCCAAAGCGCGTTGATCATGAAAGAATTTTGAAATACTTCTTTGATGTTGACGTTCATCATTCATTTCATTGAAATGTCTATAAAATGAAATGAATTTTCTTCGCGTAGTTAGTGGTTACGCATTCAAAACATATATCAGGTGAATTCTTTATTTGAATGAAGAATTTGAATATGGTCATGCGGAAATTAAGCCTGAAAATGAATAGGTTTTCTTGAGCACTCTCAATTCGAATGATTAATTGATAAGCAATTTCGATTAGTATCCGTCCATCGTAATTGCAGTCAATAGTGAAGGACGTTCATTGACATTTATACATACACAATGATGATGTCTCATCGCTTTGGCAGATAAAATACTGTGATATCCATCAATCTTTTCACAATTTGTCGTTTCAAAAGAATTCATTCAGCTGTTCGTTAAACGTTGATCTGACAGGAACGCGTTTATAATTTCAATGAGTGCGCTTCTAGTGCTGTTTGAAACATTGGAAAAATTGAAATTCCTCCCTTTAAATGATCTGATCTGAATTCCATTCTCACAGCCGACCAATAGACGTGATCAGAGTAATAAAATTAGCAATAATGAAAGTATCAGTGATGCTGGAAGTAGTAATAATAAGCACATCATCGATAATAATACTAATAGTATTATTATTTTGTTATTATGTGGAAATTAATAATATCAATAGTCCAAATAGCAGTCGTTCGAAATGTCTGAATGGAATTCTTGCAGACTCAATTATTCGCGTTCATTACAGGTTTTAATCACCGGTCGGTTAACTGAAGAAAAGAGTCCTCAAAAATATTGCATTCGTTCGTTGAGGAAAGATGAAATGAGCAAACCTTAAAACTGGATGCATAAAATCATCTTGTCTCACCGCTTCATTGGTTCGCTTAACCGTTTGTGATCCCTTCTTCAATCACATCTCTATCACGACAAACTGTCTGTTGATTGTTCTAATTGATTGTTCTGATTTATCGAATACTTATTGAGCGATTTAAAAATGGATTTGGCGACAATAACTAAAAATTGTATAAAACATCATCCGATTTATGATATTTCGTTCAGGTATGCCCGAACGATTCTTGTTTGCAAACTCGTAAGGAAATGAGCGATTTATTCGTAAAACAAAAAAAAAAGAAAATATTTGAATTGCAGTGTAGACAGATAAACGCATGCATTGAAACAAGAACTAAGAAAAGTGAAAAGATAACTTTGATGATGCACACTTGAAATGGTGAAAGAATCAACATTCTTGCAGCATTCACCGGCTAATGATTTTATTCAACTCAACGTTTGTTCTGTTTCAGTTGCAAATGAGTTTATAAGCAATCATAGGGTAATGAAAGTGCAGTTGAAGATTATCAGTGAAGTATTAGAAGATGTGACCTGAACGAGATCAACTCATAAACAGTATTTCTGAGAGCTGAACCAACTTGTCAACTGATTAATGTGCTTGCAGCTGAAAGCATTTTCCGATCAACAACAATATGTGTGATGAAATATGTTTTTGTTTGCCGTTACAGAAAATTGACTTTTTGCACGCAGAAATTTCAAGGTCTTTGATGTTTTGGCGATTCGAAAGATGATGAGTAGTGTCCAACGAAGCGTTCGTTAGACTTACGACAATTAACCGGTTCTTGTTGCTGGCAGAATTCGAATCATAATTCAAATTTGATCATGAAACGTCGTCGTCCAATGAATGAATATATGAAGAATCTATGCGTTTTATATCGCAATTACACTTTGAAACACACTCATTACCTGAATACTATTTGATGTTGTTGTTGGAGTTTATTAAATGTTTTATTCGCTTCTCATTCATCAAATTCACGTAAATATTTTCACATAAGTTTCTTATCGATGATCATTAACATTTCGTTTTCATGTGCACTTATCTTGCATAAACTTTACGCGATAACGGTTCTGGTTCATTGTTTTCAGTGTCATCGCATTATTACCTGATTCAGCAGCCATGTATTTGTCTTTCGTACACGAATGTTTCGTTTTGCATTCATAATCGATTTCATCGTTTCACAAAGATGAATGAACAGTCAGCAAATATTTCTCATCGTCAGTCGTTAAGCATTTATTCATCCAATTTTCATTTACTTTCTTGCAATTATTTTGACGTCTCTTCTGGACGACGGTGTCCGATTTTTAATTCCGAGCACAGTTCTCACCTACTGAAGTTTTTATTGATTTATCAACAATGAATCTTGTTTTCTCCTATTGGATGTCTTTCAATCGACTACATTTATTATTTAGCATTATTCAACATAATGGAAGTTTCAGATCAGGAAAACTTTTCATTGAATTTGAAGGCCAAATCTGGATCAGCTTCTCAGAGATTTGTTTATGCAAGTGAAATTCTTTTCTAGCTCGCCTAATCTCCACGGTAATCTGAACTATCGTACACTGCAAATGTGACTTAGTATCTTGCTCAATATAAATTTATTTATCACAAGCACATTGTTCTTTGTTATATTCGTTAACACAGTTGACATTTCATGAGATGTTTCAATTTATTATGTTCTTCGAAGTCTGTTGAAACCAATTACTCGGACTCAAAAAAAAATTGATTTGTTCTTTTCACCATATCAGTCAAAGGCCAATGTTTAGAAGCAGTATTGCTCACCGTCCGAAACATAAAGAGGCATATAGTAACGTTGATATTCCGATTTTTGGAGACAGGCATGAAGTCGATTAGGTCAAATTACGGAATGTTTGTCGTTTTAATCGCCACTCAGCATCAGTATCTCCTGAACAATGTTTTCTTTCCAAGATGAAGTGAACAGATTCATATTTAGATAAGAGTCACCGAAAATGCTCATTTATTTCATGTCGGGTGTTCGTTGATTCAATTATCACTGAAATGAAAAGGCGTCAACATGGTCTATGGAATGCTATTTGAAGTGCGAGATATGACATGAAACAAATGGACAAATGATTGATGAAATGTTGTTTTTTAGCTGATTATATTTTGAGGTGTATGTGAAAGAGTCATCTTCACTAACAATTTCTTCGATACATCCTTTCACTTTTCAACGACAATTCATTTCGGTCTCAGTGATTCACTGATTATAAATTTCTAGACAGAGATATTAATTGCAATTGTAATGCATTAGTTTGTTTGTTTGTTAGTCACCAGTTAATCACGGATGTTATTCAGTAGTTTTATTGCAAAAGAAACGTCCTATTATGAGATTACAAACAAACCTCTTCACTACTCTACTGGAATTCATCGTTTCTTCTCTTGCTCGTTTCTAACTATCTTGTAATGAGACTGATCGATTCAGCTTATTTTGGTGATCAAAACCTAATGGTCCGAATAATTTACTTGTTGATATTATTTTTAACTGGAACACATCTGAAAAGAATTTTTAGCCTCAGTGTGAATTAGGTGTTCTTTCATTGTCGCATGTTTGATCGAATATTGTGAACATAGTTCTGAGATGCAGCCAAAGACATCAACATCCAACCTTGAATGTATGATATACTGCTATCCATACCCGTACGAACGATAAACCTTGAAAATGATCAATTTTAATGGAGACTAAATCGAACTTTTCATGCAATTACTTCATAGGTATAATTCTGAAGGAACGGAATGTTTTTGAAAAACTTCTTCGCTAAAGAACGGTATTGACACGATGCAGTGAAAGATCACTGATGCCTTCAAAATACTAGGAATTCACGGAAGAACATAAATTGGAGCACAAGTGCAGTGAAACATTATCTCATCACCATCGCTTAGCATATTTGAGATGTTGGCAATTTCAAAAGAAAACATGGAAACAAATACAACGAATTAACAAAATTTCAAAAATTTGGAATGCTAGAAACGCAGCTAATCTTCTGAAAGAAATATATTTCGACAGGCGAATGATAGCGTCGTTTTTATTCATTATGCTATCATATATGAGATATTGTCATCAAAGAAGTCGAGCTGAAATACGAACAATCGGCGTACGACATATAAAGTTAATTACACTTGTGTCTTATTCGTTTGAAGTTGTGTACAAAATCAAACATACGCAGCATTTTCCATCTTCTTATGCTCCACTTTTTTTCGACACATTCCTCCCATTAAGTCACCTTATTTCATTTCAGCATTATCATCTTATATCAATTCTTTCGCATTCATTAGTTCTTCGACTCTATGTTTTTTTTTNTTTTTTTTTATAAACTGATATTGCTGCAAAGCGTGAGTGTTGTTCATATCCACTGAATAGTGAAAACATAATAATATGTTGCTCGCATTTCAGCTATGACACATACTAAGATTAGTATGAGAAGCCTGTCCCTGGGAAGGAGGATGGAGACACAAATAGAGAGGCGAAAAGTCATTGTTCCCATTCATCGGCGGAAACGAAGAGGCGTTACCCAAAACTGTCGTTTTCCGCAAGGAAACCAGCGAAAATGTTTCAAAATTTTAACGTTTTTTTGCGGTCCACATACTTGGTACTCTTCTGAGTTATGAAATCGCTTGATTTACGAATAGAATAAATTTCGTTGAAAACTTGTCTAGCGATCAATCTTACGCAATTTATCGTTACGCTCCCAAACACACATATGGACATGACAAAATTTATGATAGAATTTCGATCATTTCAACGTGATAAGTAGCATTCATCATATAAATTACTCAACTACTAGGGTCCTTTTTCAAAAATGTTGGAAAACGACTGAAATGTTGCTCTGGAACTTTTGGTTGTCATTGAACCTGGCTATCCATATGTCTCGATCATGCTCTGAACTCTAGGAACAGTTTACCGAATAAATTCAATTTTCGAATGAATTCAGTTCTCAAGTTTTGGCTTAACTGCAACGAATTCATTCATCCCCACCGATTATTGAGGAAATTTTTGTTTGGGTTTGCGACGAAACTTTTCGAAAAAACTGTGATTGTAAGCTGAATGCTCACTTTGTTTGACTTATATTTTTTGCGAGATCTTAGGGATAGAACTTCTTAAAAAATATTGCCAGGTTATTTGAGAAAAGAAAGTTGATTTCAGATGTATCTTTTTGAATGTAAGCTTCTTTAAATTTTACTTCTTTAAATCAATGATAATTATAATTAAGCGAGAATACGTCCTCGCTTCCAACGGTGTCAGCTTAAGTTGTCCGTTCCGCTCAGTTCAGTGACTGATGTGAGAAATTCGTTTTTGTGAGGTCCTCGCGGGGATTTCTCTGAGACAGAAAATACAACACTATTCCACCCTGCAAGCCCCTTCCACCCGTAATGGACGGAAGGGAGGCATTATGCCAGAAATGCTGTTTGTCAACGAGTCCGAGCGACAATTCTTCCTGTTCCAGCTCGGAAGGAGAGGACAGAGTCATTCTTCGTAACAACCTTAACAAATACCATTTTTGTTTCATTAATATGATCAACTGATTGCAGCATCGAGAACTGAGCGAGAGAACGAGAAGGAGAACGTCTAAAATGATGAAGTTTTTTGGAATCGCACACCTGCTCGTACTTTGCTTAGGTTTGCTGATTACAAATATTCGAGTTCTCGTTTGCAAATGAATTCCTTTAACCATCATCTGGTGGTCTAGTTCCACCTGTCAATAATATTGTCCACTCATCCGACTGATTCTAATCTAGAATGAAAATATGAAGCATCAAATGTGCCAGCAAATGAATTGATTCCTTGTCAAATTCACAAATTCTCCTTAGAAAATATCGAACATCAGTTTAGCAAAATAATCGATAGAAATTTATTATTCATTCCTTGTTCAATGATTCTGATGTTTTTTAAGTCTGCAGTCGATAAAATCCACTTGACAATTTTCGATTTCATACTTTGTTTTGCGATTCATTCGCGAACAATATGTTGAGATGACAGTGCTGTTCATCAGAACATTTTTGCCGTCAAATTTTCCTCACATTCTAAACGCTGTATCGCGATCTGTTGCGGAGGTAGTTGACTGAAATTCCCTCATAATAAGTCTTATCCTCTCGTGTCTCCAGTTGGATGGAGGCATTAAACCGCATTTGAAACTTCCTTCAAATACACGCTAATCAAGAATTGAGATATCGATTGTAAATCAGATCGCCATATGAGTTCATCATGATCTCAAAGTAAATCTCAGATGATTTTGGTTTCTCCTGAATGGGAGGAATTCTATTTATTCGTTAATTAACATACTCTTTACCAAAGTATCTATAATGCGATTAACTTTTGAATGTTTTTCTATCGCATACGATCCCATTCAGAATCAAAATGTAATTTCTCTGTGACAGTCTAATGATGTAATTTTATATGAAGGTCAGGATACTTCACTCTTTTCATGAAAAATTGATGAAGTTTCAAGAAATTTGAAAAGAACACAAGATTTAAATATGATTCTTGATCATTAAATATGAAAGACGCGTTTGTTCAGTTTGTGGTTAAGTTTTTTTGGTATTACTATTCAATGTTCAAACTTATAGCATCAACATTTGCGCTCGACAATGAGGAAAAACTTGGAACGACGAAAGAAGACACGGCTCTTTCATCAAATGTTCCCGAAATTAAGTCTGCACATGAGTTGCTTGTTGAAGCATCAACTGAGCAACCGATATTGTCAGTATCGACGACAGATGTAACTGAAAATCCACTGGATGCTGAGGATCTAGTCAACATAACCAGCACAAAGTTTGTTTGATAAGTTTTCATTTGGTCACAATCAGCACTCATTTCTGATTGCTGGCTAGTCGCGTGACTTACTATGAGTGTAGTGCACTCAAATTAGGTTGAATAGAAACATACATGCATACAGTGTTTATGAGGGCTAGAACGGGAGAATTTTGTGCGGCTGATCTCGCCTCGTGAGTGGCAGCTAAAACAGGCGAGAATCCCCTGAAACCGGATCCCGATTCCGCAGTTGGCTGAGTAGTATTGAGGGCCCAAGTTTTCTAAAGATAATTGGTGTGAACACATATTGCGGAATAGTGACTACTCATCTATTCGAAAGTAATTTTCAACACGAAAAAAAACCCATGATAAGAGCATTATTAAATCCTTCCGTAAAGAGAACAGAAATCGAGAAAACCTCATTGCACTATCACGTAACTAATCTAAAGTCACACAATTTACACGAAATGCTAACTGTGCAATTATAGCAAGCATTTGAGGTGTGATTGGATACTTAACTTCAACATTTAACATTAGGACGAATACGAGTATGGTAAATCAGAAAATAACGCAATTCATCGCTACAAATTTTTGCTAAATAAAAAAATGGCGAGCTATCGCACTATCGAAAAAATAGCTCCGTTGATAGCGAAACAGCGATTAATGTAATATTGTGCACCACTGGATACAAGTGGATAAAGATGTACCTTTACAACAGCTATTGATATATTGTAATTTCTTGCAATTAAACTATTTCTTAGTATATCAGCCTATCTTAATACTTCTTCGCGGACCTCTCACTCACCTGTAAATGGGAACTGAAATGCGAGTCATATGAAGGATAAACAAAATGTGAAAATCGAACATGTTATGGTAGTTGATTAACTTCAACACATCATTAAGAAGAATCAGCCATCAGTGAAACTGCACACTCACAGCAACAACTGACCAAACCCGCGGGCTTTGCAGACCCAGATCTGTTAGCCATTTTTCTAATATACTATAAGTTGTGCGGTTTGACACAGTAATCTTCAGGACTACCGAAGTCTCAAGTACAGATGCTGTAGAATCAACTGCTGCTGCAGATGAATTTAAAGGGTTGGATAAAATATCAACAACTCAATCATCCATATTAACAAGTGCCGTCACCGAAGGCACCCTACCCGCAGAGGTCCTTGGTTTAACTCTCTTAGCAACAATGTATTTTCAGCTATCTAATGTAAATCCTTGGAGTTATCATAAAGTCGAACGAATCGATTGCATGATTCTTCATAATTTTTCTCGATTCCATGATAAACATCATCAAACGAACCGTAATATGATTTTTCTTCAATAGAATAAGATGTACGAAACTGTATTTCAGATAACTGCCGCAGACCCATTTGCAACATCATTTACATCTTCTGCTTCAAGTGTCATATCTTCAGTAAAGAACAACAGTGAAACGGTAGTCGAAGCAATCGGTACAACCACTGATATGAGTCAATCGTCTTCTCAAATAATCACCAGCACAATCTTCGAAAGTGCTCATTCAACTGAGTCATCACTTATTGTCGATGAAATGTCATCAACAACCGCGCAAGGTAACGTGTTAATCCATTCAAAATCATCCTATCTGAATTTGTTGCTAACGCTGATTCTTGATCGCAGCACAACTATGCTATAAATTCAAGCTTTTCTCCGGATCAAATACGATCGCATATGTGTAACTTCATTCGTATACAACATTTTTGATCATTGCACAACTCTTGAATGAGGTTAAGATATTATATGATCTTTAATAGCTGATGTGGTGCTGTCCCAAAGCAGCACAAAATGTAGCAGTTTTGCCGGTCGAAGTATAACAAGGACTTACGCAAGATACCCACCCAATACATGAAAGCTCAGAATATGTTTTGAACTATTTACATGCGAACAGATCAAAACTTATTGAGCAGTGATTTTCACCCTAGGGGTTCTGTATTTTTCTGATTGATCAGATCATGATTTATCATATAGTGGCGTAATATCAAAAATACACATTTGAAACCCATGAGTAATGTTCGTGAAAATATGGAAACTAGCATAAAGTTTGCAGCAACATCATCGATCAGCGCAGCAGAAGCTAACAGATTCATTAATGAAGAGCAGGTGGCTTCAAAAACAACTGAGACTGGTCAGCTGGGGTCGTCATTATTCACAACGTTGTTAACATCAGAAACAACACAACATGGTCGTGATATACATTTGTTGAAGTTCGATCAGTTGAAAAATTTCAGTGAATACTTATTTTATGCGCATTTAACATTTCACAACGCTGTGTTTTACTGATAACTCACGTTTATGAACAGAACTGCGCTATAATAACGAACGTATTGCAGTTGAAAGCAGTACAATAGCTGAAGAGGAGGAATCACTCAATCAAGATGGCGATATCACTGATGATAGCTTCTTCGTTGCTGATAAATCGCTTTTTAATGCCGAAGCGAATCCTTTCAGTGAACTCACCATTTCCAGTAGCGTTTCCAGCCAACTACCATCGTACATTGAGGTTTACTGTTATAGTTCTTATTCTCAACTTCATTCTCTTTATATCGAACGTGTATTTCATCTTTAGATTTCAAAGTGACCCCTTCTTGAGGGTGATAAATTTTTTCGAGTGTCGGAATTTCTAAGATTCCAGTTGAACAAAATATGCCTTTTGGTCTAGGAACAAGGAACGTGAAATTTTACATTAAAAAATTATTCTAAAATTTTGCCGAGTCAGACTGTTTTTTGCCTACGGCGCGCTCCCAAATGTCCAGACGTTTTAAGTTATTTTTTATGGATGAACTTCCAAAAGGATTGTTCATAGTCAAAAAGATCCAAACAAAGATTGCAAAATGTGAGATCAAGAAAATTTTAAGAGCCGAAATTCGTTCACTGCGGCGCCCAAGGTGGAAAAAATCTGACCTTGTGATCTTTCAGATTATTTTTGGGGCGAACTTTTATACAGTTTGTTTCCATCGGAAAGTCCTGAATCTGTGAGCTGGGACTTGTACTTTTCAGACTTTCGCTTTCTCCATGCAAAAATTGGTCACCATATTCACTATACTGACTATTTCTTTCGGCGACATCTTATAATGCTCGCAGAAATTTTTGATTCCGATCATATGCGGTATTTTGATTGTGTTTAATTTTCTTTCAAGACGACTTTGCCGAGCAATACTGAACCGAACGACTTCACTCATGCTGAAACATCAAGTGCTCAAGCTGAAGAAATGGTATCATACTCGGAAATATTTCGTTCATCTTTTGTTTAATTCTATCGAAGATTAACCGACATATTGTGCTAGAGTGAATTTGATCATGACAAATTCAATTCCAAAAAAAAATCCACAAACTTTTCCATATTCTATTGCTTTTTTCAGTCAGTTTTGACGAAGAAGCATCATATTTTCTTTTAGATGACTATTGCAACCTCAAAACCAATGCAATTGGAGTGTTTGAAAACTGTTAAAACATTTCATTTGTAACTAGTGTGAAGCTGGTAGTTCTTTTAAACTCTCCTTTGTGCGAAAGAACGAAGTTGCACACTTTTAGGATAGTGATGTGACAACGTCGCTTTCGCTGGATCGTTCATCAACTATTAGTCCACCGGTAATACTTTGTCGGCTTGTTCATTTTTTGGGTTCAGTTTTTCTCGGTTATATTTCATTACTGGTTTTAATGAAACTATTCAAATGCTTGAGTTTCGATCGAAAAACGTGTGAGATGCAACCGCTTAATCCTAAGTGTCACTCTTTGTCCCAGTTCATGATTTTTCTTCGATCATCAGTGAAAAACTGGTATATTCATGCGCACAAAAATTTAGTCTTTCAAATGTATCTCGTGCAAGATTATGCAATCAAGGCCTCAAATAATTGTTTATTTGAATTGTAGATACTCTCGAAAGAACCGCTGCCTATCAATTTTGACGGATCAAACACTAGTAGCAACACAGAAAAGGGTACCTTTCATTCTTTCATTTTACTTTTCAGTTTCACTTAGATGAAAACGTTTTTTTTCATTGGAATTCATTGGCTAAAGGAAATATGGTTACTGATCGTTTCGTTGGAAGTAGATCACTTCTGAGTGGTTAATTCGTGTTATTAAAGTTTTGTGATCTCAAACTCAACAATTTCTATGCGTTCTCATTCTGGAATTTTCATTTATATACAAATCACTTTTAAAGTATCGAAAACAACTTCAGCTGAGAATACAGCTGACGTTACGTGACATTCAAATGACAAATCTGTCATATGTGCGTCATCAAATGAGCAATCCCCAATGCTGATGATCTCAGAAGAACTTGATAGGCAATTCGATAGATAATCCAGTCGAACTGATTGCATTCTGAACAAGCATCTCTGATCAAACTATAAGGACATATAAAAATTGCAGAAGAAATGCAGGAAAATTCCAACGATCAATCAGAGGAGAAGTTAGGAAAGGAAAATGAGTGGGCAGAAATCGATACAAAAATTGATCCTCAGAACAAGAATGAACGACGTTTGTGTTTGAATACTGCTAGCTAATGAATGCATAGTTCAATTTCATTTCTTTCTCAAATACTGAATCTTTATGATTTGTTTTTTTCACCCCCATTTTAGCATTTTAACTTAAATTCTGTTCCCCGAACTAACAAACGCATCAGACTAATCATTCGTATCAGTTGTTCATATTCCGAACGCTAGTCACCTCAGTGAATAGTTCCAACAAATTTTCTCTCGATTTGAAGTTCAAAACGAAACGTTACTAAGAATACGATATGAGCATCACTTACGACACTTCCAGACGAATCAGCCACCGAAGAACGAATAGTGAACAGTGACAACGATGAAGAAGATCACAATAACGATCAAGAAACTACTACTGAACCGACATCGAAGCCAGTGCAAGAAATAAATCACGTTGAAGAGCTGAATGAAGAAGACGAAGGCTCCGAAGCAACGGTAGAGCCAAACGCTGCAGTTGCACCTCATCAAGAGCCACCGTCCATTCCTGAACCTGAGCCTAAACCCGAACCAACAAGTACGATTAATTATTCTTAGTATTGGTATAAGCATTCGATTAAGTTTATGACAAACGTTTTTCTTTGCTTATTCTTCTCTTATGAATGCTGTGAATAGATGTCATCAGCTCAACAAGTTAAGTTTCCCACCAAATCATCTTTCTATGATGACTGGACACGTTCTCTGACTCACATTAGGTATTTATTCGCCCAGCAGGTTATTTCTGGACTGCATTCAATCACAAATTTATTTTGTTACTGTTGCAAAGTTGAAAAAATGACTCTCAATTGAAATTCGGTTTTTTTCGTATTGTTTTGCTGTTTCTCACCTGTTTCACCCTTAACGATTCTTTTCATTGAAAATGAGTCAGAGACATAGCCAAACATTATGATGCATACTTGCAACTGAATTATGAACATGGAATCAGCGTGAAAATTTCGTTAAATTGGGAATTATAACCTCACAGTTTCGTTCTTCGCAAATTAAGTTGCCTTCCATTGCTGATTGATGCATACCTTATTTCAGCTGGTCCATATAAAACGCCATATTCACTCCGCATAACCAATATCGACTATACGCCAGAATTTGAAAATCCAAACAGCGGTAAATCCAGGAAGTTGCGGGACCAACTTATTCCTGAAGTACGTTTTCTGCGGAATTTCTTCGAAAGATTATTTCAAATATGGTAAATAAAACAAAATGACTGAATGCAAATAAAATTGAAACGAACGCATGAAACTATCGAACAATAATCTGATGTAGAATTTCAGTTGGAAGAGATATTTAGTGGAATGTTTACGAGTAGTTATCGTGGAGTTAGCATCGAGACGATAAGGAAAGGTAGTGTTGTGATTGACGGTAACGTGTACACATCGACGAGACCGAGTGATGACAACCAACTAGCCACTGAATTCGAACAGAGAATCAGCGCCAGAGAAGCGCAGATCGGTGGCAATGATGTGGATGTACGATCTGTATCACTTAACGGTTCGTTTATTCAGTGAAGATTTATTCTTTTTGTTTTTCTCTCATTAAGAGTGTACTCGTTGACACTTATTTATTGTCACTGATTTTCAAGTGTTTGCTTGAAATTTGAAGTTCTCTCAACTTAATAGAAAATTATTGGAAGTATAACTTTGATCCATATGTCTTTTGAAGGGTTTGTGTCGAAAAATTACGTTGAACGTGTTCATGAAGGCTACACTTCATCAAGTTCATCGTCCTATGTGGTCGGTGGTGGAATAGCAGTTGGCGTTATCGCAATATTACTTGTTGCATTCGCCGTTATTGCAGTAAGTTGCATTCGACATTTAAACGTCCAATTGGTGCGGTTTATGAGAATATTCGATGGTGTATTGTAGTGTGCTTGTTTTGCAACAATAAGGAATAACAAGCAAGTGGATCTGTTCGCTTTCTAAACATTTGTTGAAAACTTTTTCAAAAACATTCCAGAATCACTTAGAAAAGAAATTTACATTCAGCAGAACATAATATCGAACTTCAGTTGAAAATTCAATTAAAGAAATGGCAATTTCAAGACTGAAACAGATGTAAAGAATTTTCCAGATGAATAACCGACGTTCGAATGGCACACTGAAATTAAAAGAAGAAAATATTGCGATGACTGAAAATGGTCGAGGTCCATGGAATAACACATCCCCAGTGAATTTGTTCGTTTCGTCCAACTTGTTTGAGTTTCTATTCATTATCTGCATAATGTCGAGAAGAAGTGTCCCCTTGATTCGAAAAAGAAGTGTCCCTTGATTTTTGATAGTGATTTTCCACAGATTTGTGAGACAGTTGAAATGAATGGTAAAACCAAGGTTTTTATATGTGCTCAACGCAAGCCTAAGCCTAAGTTTAAGCGTAGTAACGGTGAGAATGTTACTAAGTGGAAATGAATAAATACATAATAATTAATCGAATCATTTTAATGACCGATCGAACTAGTCAATCGAACACTGTGAAACTCTTTTTATGCTAGACTGTTTCGATAGTATTCACATCTCTTGCGAATGACAAATTTATTCGGAAACTTTTATCATTTGAGTTTGATGTGAACAGGAAAAGATTCAGTTCATGGCCACATTTCCGTCATAGCTACATTCTATCTTCAAGAAAAGTTGAGTTTCAGAATGGGTTACGGTAATGGACACCATCAGATACACCCACAACATAATGGTCAATCATCGATGGTAATACTTGTTTCATAATCGTTCCTTACAGATTTCATTCGACTACAAATGAGATATCAACCGGAAAGATCAGAATGCTCATTCAATAATTCAGCTTCGCCTGAATAACTTTGCATTGGAAACCAAGTGCTTGAATTATTAATGAAATGAGAAAAACGAACTATTTGGCTGCTTTTATCTTTCCAATTCGCCACAAGATTTAGACCGTAGAACTCTAAAAAAATCTCAGAAATACTTTTGAAAAATATTATCAAAACTGCTCGCCGCATCATCTGTTTACCGTAGATTTTAAAATTTTCGCACTTCTTTTACATAAGATTATATTATTCAGGATGCTTCTTCCCATTTCAGGTGACCACACTGACGGTAAATGATGAGAACGGTGGACGATAAGGTGATACTGAGTGATGAAAAGCTAACCAATATTTTGATTCACAATTTCTGCTGACGAAGATATTTTCTATGAATATAGATCATTTCGCCTGCCCTTTAGTAACATAATAATATTGCCGTAGATTTTTCTCATTTTTTGGAAGGAAAAGAACCATTATTGGTGGTACTGGTTCATTCATTTCGAATGGTTTCTTATTCGTGAATAGTTTTTAAAAGATGTGATTCAAAGTTGAGTATGTAACGCAGCAGTATCATGTAGCTTACCATAACCTTCGATCAATTACGGTTAATTCAATGTTTGTTGAGTCGCACTGTGTCGAAACTGCGCTCTATTCAATTTCTCTTTATTCTTCAAATTTGTCGTGAAACAACATCGAAATCCAACAAGGAGTTTTGGAATGATTTGAACTCACTAAAGCGTTACGGAAATATTTTACAAGAACAAGAGCAATTAGGCACAGTTGAAGGAGTTAATTTGCAAAACGCTCCAATACGTTATATATCTATCCATCATCACCCAGTTATCACATCCGCAAAATGAGGATCACATACGATGTGTTGGCTAAGGCTAGAAGGAATGACAAAAGCTTACAAACTGGATCATCGCTCTTTTCACAATTATGCCAAATTCTTCTCACATTTGAGCTATCACCAATTGTAGTGATGGCTGATGTCTACAACTGGCTTTAAAACCGACCGAAAGAGATGGGATCATATTTTTATGGTCAATAATTCAGAAAGAAGAGTGTAGAGTGATAACCTGAAGTTTCACCGTATTATTATGGGAGCATTTGGCGTTGTATCCAGTTCCATCTTGTTAGGAAAATATTCCAAAGGAAAGCGGAGAGCTTCAAGCTGGTGAAATGAATGAGTTGAAGTCATTGAAAAACACGTATGTAGGCATTGTAATGTGATCCTCGAAATCCAAAAGCATGTTCGATAAAGCCGCAAGAATGAATTAGTCAACATCAAACGGTGAGTGGCAAGTTTGAGGAAGTAGATAAACCATCAGAGAAATGCCAAAGGTGTTGGGAATAAGATGAGATAAACAAAAAGATATCTTATTCGTTAAACATGTCAGCAGTGAAGTACGGTCGTGTGATTTTCCAACCAAGAGGAAGAAAGTACTGTCTTAATTGTTCGCATATTTTGAAGCATTGGGATTGATTCAAACATTATTCTTAAAAGACAAAATATTCCATCAGTCACTTTGGATACGGAAGGGGATGAGGTACATAGGAAGGAACATGGACTGGAATGGAATAAATATCACGACAGAGACCGGTGTCGTAGAAGAGGAATAGAGAACTCGAGATGCCGGCAAGAAAATTCGTAATTTAGTCCCTCATGTAAAGCGTCAACTGGATTCTGTGGAAACATTGCGGCTAGCGCGAAAAACGGACATAATTAGGTGATATGATATTGAGGTAGAAGAGATTAGGAATGTGTTGCGATAAACAGAAGGTGTATTGGTATGCACAAGGAGCTGAAAATGTGTACGTTCGATTCTGCAAAATCTTTTTTGAATTTCGATGTTGTTTTTTGAGAAATTTGGAAGATTGAGATAAATATGGAGGGTGCTCAGCTTCGATACCCTGCAAGCATCATTCAGTTCTTTAGTTTCATTCATCTCTCCATTTTATTATTTTCTTTTGTTAACTAACGATGTCAGACTGCGAAACTAATTCGGCGCTTTGAGCTAACCACCATATCTTGTCGTTGAGCTCATCGTTTTGATATGGGGCATTTTTTCAAGTTACCACTAACCTTGAGTTCTAAGGGTTGAAAAATGGCATTGTTTTAATTCCACCCGATGTATCCGCCTAAGCTTGAGCCTCATTCACTCAAATCAGGCTAATGCATAGGCTTATGCCGATCAGGCTGCCTTGAGTAGCTTTTAGACAAATATCTCAAGTTTACTGTGAAGGCTGCTTTAAAAGATCACATGTTTGATCGGAATATGTACTACTGCTCGCAAAAGTTGACAGAAATGAATGGTGGGTTTGTTCGTGCAACAGTATCAGCAAACAAGGTTCTATTCCATACTGTGCAAGGACTCCCTCCTCGTCGAGTAAAATCAATCAGATCAATGAAAGCCTATATCTATGCATCTTTTGAAGTAATATCATCATGAGTGCTCGTCGAATACGCAAAAAACAAGCTTAGTATATTGATCAATTATGGAAAGTTTTATTAATCCATACTTAAAAACATCTTACTCGTCCTACTAGTATTCAAAATCTGACTTCACTTCGCAATGTCTGCTTGTCAGTTCAGATCAGGTATCTATAAATTGTTTTATTCATAAGACGTATATGGTTCCTATGTTATCATGTTACCAACAAATATCTGTAATGAGACCTCGTGCACTGCTTCTTCATACAACGTTTTCGTTTTGACTTTTTTCGCAACTCAAAAATTCTCCATCACTCACTTTTGCATGATTTCTGGAAAGTTATAATCATTTCACTTAAACAATTTTTCTCAGAATACTCCTATGCATTATTTGAAATCATGCCGTTTGGCATCACTATCCATAAGCTACTAATGAATCCAGAGATGATATGCCGAAAATTCGATTTTCTTAGAAGCGATCTGACCAAAAGTATGCAACAGTCCGTGCAAAATAACCAAAATTTTGGCAGAATCCCAATGCAAGATATATAAATGCTTCTTCAACGAGAAAGATCAAGGCAAATAACTGTGGATCAGTTCAACACAAAAAGAAGGTTAGATGAAGAAAACGTTCTTGAGTAATTGAAGCATGGCATCCAGTAGTATTTCCGATTTTCAATGCCACATAACACCGTTTTGCATCCTGCTAGAATTTCAAGAACGTAATGGCAGTAATATACGGGGTCTCATTATTTATAGATATGTCGTTTTACAGATTTAATGTGGTTATTATTTATCCAAAATATTGTTCGAAGTTTACTGTTTACGTGAATTATTATATAATATGCTCAACTGAAGTGTAAAAGTTTTTGTATTTGATATTTGATTATAACTTGTGCTTTTTAGCAGTACGAATTTGTCGATTGAAGATGAAAAAGAATAAATATTTTTAATGATCAATAATTTATGAGAGCTAAAACTATCACGAAACATTATTAAAATTAATGTTTCAAATCACGGTTGCACTGAAAATGTGCTTCGTGAAATGGTCAACAAACGTACAAGAATAGCTGTTGGATGTATTGTTTGAATATGGCTAAACAAATTGATGAATATTCGTGATGTCATCGCATTAAGATTGGCCATGTAAAGGTGATATTTCAGATTACTAAAACTACTATAAATTCTACGAATCCTGTTCTAATCTTCTTTTATCGATCTCTTCCATGCTGTCAACGTCAAACTCGTTAAAATTCATCATGTTCACACGGATATAATTTCTGTAAAATTTATGAGGGATTTACATTCGCGAACGAAGAAATCAGAAGACTAAGTAAGTGAATAGATTTAAGATGAATAAAATGGCGCTATGTATCATCTTCTCACAAGCGATCAATTCCATTCAGAATATTCCGCATTCATTCATTTCATAATATATAATATTAATCATTCACAATATAATATTTCCATCTTCATCTTTTCGTATCGAAATAGTTTTTTCATTTCATTTTTAACATCCTTCGCACACAAATATAACGCCCAATTGCTTTTTAGCATACAAACATGCAATAGATATTACAATATGTACATATAATATTCTGTAATAGATGCACAATATATCATATCAATTCATCATTTATTTCATATGATCATTGTCTACGTAACGCACTTCTCACCTATCATCTTCATCATCCCTCCTCGTAAATCTACACTCACTTCTTAATTCCACTTCCATTTAAGCACTCAACCATCATTACGCTAATATTGCTTCATTTCCATACCATTCATTGCTAAAGTACTTCTCAAATAATTTTTTACAATCCAATCAGTATACTTCATTCGCGAAATCCGTACGAATATTTGGAAAAATAAATATTATTCACTAAATTAGTTCACTGATTTCAACAGACGCAGTTGGCTTCCTGGGAAACACGCAGCCATCATGATCATCTTTTTGCATCAATGAAAAAAATAGAATGAAACCATAAACTCGAATACATAATGAAAATTCTCCATATTCAGTTCGTAAACGTGGATATCAATGATCGAAAATTAATGAGC